ACTTTTGGTCAAGCCTGTTGGGAGTTCTGAGCTCCTCCTGGATATTGTTTCCCAATTATTTCACTAAATACAGTTGTAAACTCAGTTTCTCTCTCTGTAACTTCTGGGATTCCCATAACTCTTATATTTGACCTTTTAATATTGTCTTTCAATTCTTGAATACTTTTTTTGGCCTGATCCAGCTCTGCTTCCAGCTTTTTGGTTGTTTCCCTCTGGTGACAAGAAATATCTTCTAATTCTGAGATTCTTTCTTCTGCCTCCTTCATTCTATTTTGGAGACTCTCCATTATACTTTTAATTTGCTCCACTGTGTTCTTCATTTCTGATAAACCAGCATTCATTTGATTCATTTCCAGTGTGACACATTCCTTAAATTTCTTGAATGCCTGCTTCTCATTGTTGATAAGAAGGTTTATAACACGTGTTTTGAATGCTGTATCCCCCATTTTCTTGACATCTTCCTCAGTTAACTCTGAAGTTGGCAAAGGGTTTTGCTCTTTTGTTGGGGAGTCTTCAGTAATATTCATTGTGCCTCTGTCTCTTCTTTTGCTCTTGGTCACTGTATTTCTGGTGATCAGATTCTTCTCCTTGGGGCAAGTTTCTAAGCTGTGTCACCCATAGGTCTACAGTTTGATTTTATTTATTGGAGTTGGTACATGGCTCTTTACAGTCACTTGTGCCACTCTCTCCAGTGAGTTCCAGGTTTGGGTTCTTATGTTCGATTACCACCATGTTCTCTGTCATCCCAGCTCCTGGGTCACCAGTCTCCACTTCCTGTGATACTGTGCTGAGGCTGCACCGTTGTCTGTACAACCTTTCTCCTACTTCCACTTGTAGCAGGTCCCAGGATTAGGGAGACACCAGGTGTCCTATGTAAGTAGGCTGTTGGTGGAGCTGATCTTGCCAGAACCTGTTGGCTATTAGGTCTGAGGGCCGCATGGACCTATTTTGACCCGTGCGATGCCATAGTCAGTATTATTTTCCTGTGGGACCAGTGCAATGCATTGAGCTCAGTGAGTTCTTGCCAAGCTCAGTGCATGTGCAGCTCGTTGTTGTCCCTGCAGTCTTAAATTATTTGCCACACTGTACAAAACAGCACCCAATGTGCTACTACTAGAGTTCTTGATCTGCTGACTGTCAGATCTGAGGGCTACCCTGACCAGTCTTTGGTGGAACCCCATGTTGTTGAAGTTCACTGAGCCAGAAATGAATTCACTCCCAGTTCCGTGCATGCACAGTTCTGCTCCATAGCCCTTGCTTCCTTAAACAAAATGGTGCCCAATTTGGCTCTAGGGGGTGGACTGGGTTGTGAAATCCACCCTATTCCCACACTGCCCATCTGGGATCTGCTGCTCTGTCTCTGCTCCTGGTCAAATCAAACAGACCAGCAGGATGAGCAGTTCTTTGAGTTCACCTCCTGAGCATCCCTGGTGAAAGTCCCTTCCCAGCTAGTTGCTGCTATAGTTCCGGCTGCTGGTGCAATTCAGATCAGCACTTGCAGGATGCTGCTGGGGTATTGGTCACAGCAACACCACACTGTTGTGTCCACTGCTTTTCTGTGTCTGTCAGTCTCCAGATACCCCTCTGCTATTGTTCTGGTCTTTTATTTCTTGGAATGTGCCCTCTTTGCTTTATACTGACTAATATTTCTCCATCTGTTTAAAAGTGTCCTTACCCTAATCCACCATTTTGATTCTCCAAATAACCTTAATCTTAAGTGGTACCCCCTTTCCTATTTGCGTTATTTCTAATTATGGGTGCCCTGACCTATGTCCGACTTGCTTGCTCGTATTAAGCCCTGCCATGAGCTTTCTCTAACAGTCTTGGTATTCCTGGAGACAGATGTCTGAAATGACATACCCACACATTTCCTTGATCAAATGAGCTCAAATTGGGTTTTTCACATGGGAGTCAATCAAGCAATTTCAACTGAAATGGGGAAGAAAGAAGGAGCTGCTCTGTTTCAGGCAGTGCCTGTGGCAGTGGCATGGTGGCTCCTTCTCAAAGCGGTGAGGGAGGGAGTCCTTAGCAGGAAATTATGTGCAGCCTCAGGGGCAGCAGCTGCTTTCCGATCTCTGGCTGCATCATCTTCCTTTTGCTTCTCTAATCTTTCCAAAATTACTATAATAACTTTTTTTGGCCAGAACAGCATTTTGCTTTCAGAGGAAGGTATAGGGCATGAGCTCCCAAAGGTATGAGTCTAATGTTGCTAAGCCCAGCTGGTTGGCCTTAAATTAGTGATGTCTCGTGGCCAGTGGCAGTGGGTTATAGCTTGCACCACAAAACACCAGGTGGCAAACCAGATACCTCAGGTATCACCTGCATTTACCTTGGATGAAGTGTGATTGCTGCTAAGTGTTTGTACGAGATAAACAACTTTCTCTTTTTTTAATGATTTATTTTATTTTTGTTAGAATGGAAGAAGATTTATGAAGAGAAGAACAGACAAAGATCCATCTGCTGGTTCACTCCCCATGTGGCCACATTGGCTGGAGCTGATCTGATCTGAAGGCAGGAGTCAGGAGCTTCTTCCGAATCTCCTAGACAGGTGCAGGGTTCCAAGGCTTTGGACCATCCTCTACTGCTTTCCTAGGCCACAAGCAAGGGGGCTGAAAGTGAAGTGGAGCAACTGAGACATGAACCAGCACCCCTATGGAATCCTGGTGTTTGCAGAATAAGGATTTAGCCACTGAGTCATCACACCGAGCCCTCTTCCTTGCCATTTCTAAGGATTTGCAGGACACAAGAGAATGCTGTAGGGTGTGTTCACTCTGCCATCTGTCTCCAAACTTCTGTTTTCTTTTTCACAATACAGTTATCATGCTGAGCTATTTCAGTTAAGAGTATTTTTTGAAGTCATGATTCTGCTATATATATGTATATATATATATATATATATCATATATATCAACACAGAATGATACTTAAGGCAGGTTGAGTAATTTAACCTATTTCAATGTCTCAAGTCTTGTGCTGACAAGACATTGCGCAGTAGCCATGGGATTTGAAGAGGACTGCATTCACATGACTGCTTTATTTCAAGTATTAACACTTCCATCCTGGGAAAAAGACTAGCCCGAGGGCATCTGTGAACCAGGGCATCTGTGACAGAGCGATTTGCAGTTCTGGTCTCTAAACCAGTGTGCCGCAGAAACGCCTCTTTGCACATCACGGCTTTTGTGGGAGTTGGCAGCTTTGCCTGAGGCCTCACGAAATGACAGGCTTTCACAAAGCCAGACCCAACACAGTTACACAGTCATGCTGATCTGAGAACTAAAGACGTTCTATGGCATGTGAAAGTTAATGGCTACCGGCACAAATTGCATTCCCACATAGTTCGTGGGTTAAGTTGCTGCTTGTGATGCGGCATCCTATATTAGAGGGCTGGTTCGAGTCCTTTCTGTTTCTATTCTATCCAGCTTCCTACTAATGCACCTGGAAGAGCAGCAGGTGAAGGCCCAGGTCCTTGGGTCTCTGCCACCCATGTGAAGACCTGGATGAAGTTCCTTGTTTCTGGCTTCAGCCTGGCCAATACCTGGCTTTTGTGGACATTTTGGGGAGTGAAACAGTGAACAAAAGATGCCTCTCTCACTCTCTTTCTGTGTGTATATGTGTGTTGTTCCCTTTTTGTCACTTTGCCTTTCAAAACAACAAATAAATAAGTCTTAAGAAAAATGAAATTAGAAGTTAAGTTTATTTTAACCAGACAGGCAAAGCCCTGAAGTTTCCATTCCAGCCTATCAGCAGGAACAACAGACAGTAACAGGAAGCAAGACTAAACAAGAAAAGGTTGCAATAAAATTAAAAATAATAATCTCATTGAGAATTGCTGTGGTTTCTTTTTATTTTCTCCTTGATCCAATCCACCTGGGAACCTTTGCAGAACCTCATTTTTTAAGCCTTATCTACGCCAGGGACCCTTGGGAAGGGCATCACATGACTTTTCTAGACGTTTTAGAGAAACTGTTTTCTTTACTGGTGGATGTTCAGGCTCTGTGCTGGGAGCTGCCATTGGTGACAAGCAGACACTCGCCCAGTTGCTGCCTAATATTCTGTTGCTGAATGTTCGTTTGAAGCTCTTGCTGGCATCCTGAGCCATTACAAATGTCATTACTGAATTCAGCAGAATCTGCGTGTTGCGGGGACCTACTCTGATCTTACGCTCCACAAACCAAACCCAAATTTACCAAGAAGGAGCCTCGGGTCCTGACTCCAAGCCCAAGCCTCTGGAATCAGCTAAGAAGGTGGAGTCCCTGGTTCTCCAGGCTCCTTCCAGTCCTCAGCTGGCTTCCCTAGTGTGCAGTTCAGGGTATGTGTAAGGTGCTGGCAGAGCAGGGGCTCACACTCAGGACACAGATTGCTTGCAAAGCTTTATTCTGACCTTTGGAGCCAAAAATCTTGAAAGATATATTCCAGTATCACCCTGTATGTAAGTGTTCTGTTATGTTAACATTTAATTTCACAGGGACAGTGATGATTTGAGTCTGGAGCCATACCATCCCCAGGAACTTTTCCACATGTCGGTTCTCAGAATTAACACACAGGTCTTTGCCAAGTCCGGGGCCAGGGTGAGGGAGAAGATGCATTCTATCTCTTTCTTCCCTTGTTGCAGTCCCTATTGATGCTGTTCCCTTCTGAGTGCCAGGGTCCAAATCACACAGTCTCACACTTACTCATGAAAAAATCTGTGGGAGGTGGAGGCCTCCTAGACCATTGGACAACTCATTGTACAAGAGAAAGTTACCCTGTGGGATGCAGAAATATCTTTTTTTTTTTTTACTGTGATCTTGACCCTTACCCCATCTTCTGTTGCTGTCCTGGGAGGAACACATAAGAGCTAATGCCTGGGAACATGAGGGTTTGGATTGTAGCTCCTCTTGACTTTCCAAGCCCAAACTGGGTTGCACCAAATTCCCTGGGGTAGGAAACTGAAACAGCTGCCAGGGGGCAGTGTGTCCACCCACTAATCTGACCCCCTTAAGATTGGCCAATGGGAAAAGGCAGTGGTGAAATGAAGAGGGCTTGCCTGCGCGAGTAGCGACTGTTGGGACTGGCCTGTCTCCTCATCCTGGCTGTGGTCTGTGGGGCTATTCTCCTACCAGAGGGTAAGAGCAATTGTGTTATGTTGCAGGCTGGGCAGGGATGGCTGTGTGCTCATTCAGGTTGTCCTGTGTGTGGTAGGGTGGGGACAGACACAGCAGAGTCTCACCAAGTCTGCCCTGGTAGAGGCATGGAAGCCCTGGACTTCATCCTCTATTCCCCCACAGCACCCAGATGGGAGGAGTCATGACTTCTGGTCAAAATGCTTAGGGTCATCCTGAATTTTGCCCAATTCACACTGTGCCAGGATGTTCAGTGAGAAAATAAGAAAAGCTAGGATTAGGGAGATGTAAGGGTGCATGCACAGGTGGTCTGATTTGACAAAGCAGAAGAGGAAAGATGGCTTTGCAGAATGACCTGGTAGGATGAAGAAAGAGGCAGAGCTCTGTCCAGATGTGTGTGTGTGTGCGTGTGATTGTGCATGTATGTATATGTGTATAAATGTGTACACGTGTGTGTGTGAGCATGGTGATGCTGACAGCTTGCCCTGTGCTGAATGAAAGGCTTTAATGGATTTCTGAGCCTGCCATCTATTTTTAGGTGGCACTAGGTGGAAGTGCCAAGGTTCTGCCTTTGAGATTTTCCCAGGTGGCAGTTTCATATCATTCATGCCAGTGGTTGTGTGATTTTAAGCCAGCACCCCAGCTTCTCCAGGTCTCAAGTTCTGTTGAGTCTAAAACAGGCCTACGAGATGAGGACCTGATGGAAGTTAAGAAGCTTCTTTTTCAAACTATGCTTCGAAGAGTCCTTGCCAGTTTCAAAGGGCACCTACGCCCCTCCTCTCCAGCTGTTCCTTCTGACAGGTTCTGGAGCTAAGTCAGAGGTTCCTCGGAATTCCTTTAGGGTTGTGGAATGGCAGGGGGGTCACTGATTTGGAAGGTAAAGGAACAGTGTCCCAAAGGCATCGTTTCCTTAATCTCTTTAGAGCTGGTGCCATTTTCCTTCCCTGATGAAAGAATGTCAATATGCAAGGGCTCCTAGCTTGAGAGTTGGCTTCTATAAGGATCTGAAATATGCACCCCGTTCCTTCTTCCAGCCTTCCTCTCTTGTCAAAACAGGGCAGGAATGAGATCATTTCTGCAATCCCTTTGGGCTGTGACAATCATGCTTGCTGGATGCTTTAATGTCCTGCATCTTGCTGCAGGACTTGGTGCCTCGCGTCGGGCCTTCTCTTTGCCATGCCCACTCCCCAGTGGCACCCTGTGCTTGCATTTCACAAGATTTTGCTGCTGCTGCTGAAATCCCAGTAGGTCAAAGTGGACTTTCCCATACATCTGAAAATGAAGACGAAAGATCACATTGTGATCCTTTAGGTTCCCGAGGACATGGGTGACCAATCCCTTGGAAGATTTTAAGAGTGCAAGAATTCACACCAGTGCCAGGTTGGCCAGAAACGTTAGTGCAGGAGGAAGCCAAGGCAGTGATTTTCATTGCCCGCTGCACCTCTGCACTCTTCTGCTGGACCTCTCTGGGCCTTAGATTTTACTTGTGGGAATGCAGTTCTACCTGCTGAAGTTGCACAGGAGAAATGAGATGAAAAGGGGTGGTGGAGAAACATCAGTGATTCAGAGCTATGGATTATTAAATATTTATTTGTCTTCTCTTCATTTATGTATGGAATACTTTATAAATTTATAAGATATTCCTTCACATGTTTTGTCCATTGGTTTTTTGTTGTTGTTGTTGTTTTAAAGATTTATTTATTTATTTTGGAAAGTCAGATATACAGAGAGGAGAGATAGACAAGAAGATCTTCCATCTGATGATTTACACCCCACGTGGCCACAACTGCCAGAGCTGAACTGACCTGAAGCCAGGAGCTCGGAGCCTCTTCCAGGTCTCCCACACGGTGCAGGGTCCCAAGGCTTTGGGCTGTCCTTGACTGCCTTCCCAGGCTACAAGTAGGGAACTGGATAGGAAGCAAGGCCGCCGGGATTAGAACCAGTGCCTACATGGGATCTTGGTACATGCAAGGCGAGGATTTTAGCCACTAGACTACAGTGCCAGGCCCTGTTCTTTGGTTCTTAAAATAGTTTTACCAAATAGGCTAGATAAGAATTACTGCATTTATTGGCAGAGAGCATGGCATTGAGGAGGTGGCGTAGGGCTCGAGAGTCAGCCAGCACATTAGTGGAGCCTAGTCGAGAAAGCAGCCAGTCCACTTCCTTGGGAATTGAAAGGTCTTTTCTTCCTATTTTCTCTGAGATTCTCCAGTCTGTGGGGAAGAATATTGAAAGGCAGAGTGCATGACTGCAAAGTGGCTTTATTGTTTCTGCTGGTTATGTTCAAGAGTCTGTTACTGGACTCTGGAAGATCGGAGTTTATTTTCAGTTCTGTTTAGCCCTGGGGTCTCAGACAATCTGTGAAGCCTCTCTTCCCTTGTCTCTAAAATATATTGAGCATTTACCTGTGTCAGACATTACTTAAAAGAACTTTGCACGGATTATACCACTTAGTCCTCAGGAAACATAAAAGGCTAAGCTATGGTAAAGGTGAGAATACATTGCTTGCATCCTAAGTCCTAAGGTCCTAGAGCTCTTGCCCCCACTCTATCCCATACAGTTTCTCAGGCTGGATCTGAGACTTCAGTGGGGCGTTACGACAGGAAAAGGCTGAGCAAATAACATTCAACAAAGGCACAGAATCATAAGAGGCACTTGGGATTTAGCTTCATGTTCCACATAAAAAGTCTTGATAGGCATAACTGAATCTTGGATCAGTATCCATAGTTTTGTTGAGCAATGTTTTTCCCTAGAGAATTAGAAGTCTTTTAAAAATAAAATTGTAAAAAAAAAAGTGCTATTTGTAAAAAAAAAATAATACATCTAAACAAAAAGCCACAAATAATTTCAAGTAGAAATATTTGACATTTAGGCACCTCTACAGCTGACTTTTTCTTGCTATTAATTGTTGATTTTCCATCCAAGATGAGGTTAGGACATGATCTTTACAAAAGTGATTGTGGACACCATCATCTTCCTGGTTGCTTGGTGAAGCAGTTGACATGCCACCCAATTGGAGGGCCTGGGTTCGAGTCCTGGCTCTGTGTTCAACTCCAGCTTCCTGCTTATGTGCCCCCTGGAAGGCAGCAGGTGATAGCTCAAGAAGTTAGGTTGCTAACACTCACACGGGAGACCCAAATTGAGTTCCTTTCTCCCAGTTTCAACTTGATTCACACCTGAGCGTTGTAGGAGTTTCAGGAACAAAGCAGCGGAGGGAAAGTGTCCGTCCGTCTGACTCTTTCCATGTCTCCCTGTCTTTCCCATAAGAACCCAAAAAGCAAAGCACTTTATAGGGTAGTATGCTCATTTCCTCTCTCTCCATTTAAGCACTGTCAATCCATGCCCGCTGACAGGAACCCAGATTGTTTGCACCTGGTTGTGGGGAACTCTGCATCAAACACAAGTGTTGGGAGCAGAATGTATTCCATTGGGGTAAGGGATATTCTTTTTAACAGAGGAATCAGAGGACACAAGAGAGCTAGACTTTGCCTCCCTCTGAGGACTTGGGATGAGCCCGTAATTCCTCACCTTTGCAGCCCTTTTTTGCTGCTCCTGCAGTTCCTACTTTCTAAGTTCTCTTTTTGGCCAATAACGCAATCTCAGTTATTCCTCCTTCCTCACTTCTGGAGAAAAGAAACTTGGAGCTCCAAGTGCTTGAGTTTTATTGCTAAAGTCATAATGAGAAAGAGCAGAGGTGACAAACAATGCAGAAGTTTAGAGATCAGTGAAAGCTTACCAGGCTCAGTATAAGCATCTCCCTGAATACAAAAGGCCTTTCTGCTCTCACCACCTGTCCTCATCTATCTCTTCCCTCCTGGAACCGAACAGATCTGCACCTCTCTCTGACCACTTCTAGCAGCTGCTGAGAACATGCTGCTGGCCCCTCCAAATTCAGTAGAGGGCGACAAAGTACATGCAGCAGTATTGGGCCTTGAGCCGACCGGCAACTATTGTCTCTACTCTCAGCTGCCAGACTGGCTCTCTGTAAGATCACATCAGTTCTCGATATCTGCCAAATGATGCATCGGACAAGCAAGAAGGGGAAATAACACAATTTATTAGTTAATTAATAAACCAGAGGCTTTCAAATGAAGAGAAAGTATTTGCATACTTTGGATTGTGGGTTACCTCAATACACAAAAGGTAAGAGGTAAATGAAAGACTTTAATTTTATCAACTAGTGAAAGATAGGAAAACTACAGTATAAAGCACAATCTGGAAAGGCTTTTGGTTGTTCAACACTTAGAAGCAAAGAAAGATATCAAGTGCTGGCTAAATAAAAACGGAATCATCTGTACCTAAACATTCTAAGCAAAAGAAAACCTAAAAAGGGTAATTTGTACACGTATGCTAATAATCGTAGAATATGTGACCAAGCGTTGTTACAAAGAACTTATGTAAAAATGAATCATAAAATACACTATGTCCCTATTAAATTAAGTGACAAAGAACACTCGGTGATAATATGAATGAGGAAATTAGGCTAGGAAACAAGTCTTGTGTAACATATAGAATTCATTTAAAACTTCAGGGTGGCAGCCACAGCAGTGGCAGCATTCCATAAACTCACCGAACTCATTGCAGAGTGCGTTCTATGCTAACACCTGTGAGAGTAGATTCTCCTGTACACATGCTGGGGCCAGTGTGAAAGAGAACGCTGTGAGAGCATGTCTCAAGACACTCTGCAATACTCACTGCTTTTGATCCAATAATTCACTTCTAGGAAGAAGTCATGTCATATGTATCCACATACACACACACGTGCATATGTACATGTGCTTACATGAGAAAGTGGAAGGATGAGCTGGTTATAGCACATGAAGAGAGCAGGTTAGAACCTCAGGTAAAAATGCTAAAAATCTGGAAAAGGGGGACTTCAAATTAAAATTGTATTTCAACCTTGTTCTGTGCTATTGGTATGTTAGGCTTGACCTCTGGTATTTGTAGATCAATAGGGAACTGGGTGAGCAAAACCGGAATTATAGTGTGTGCAAGAAGTGCAGCAGCATGGTGTCCATGGTTGCTTGGAGAACACATTCAAGGAGCAGATCATCTGGAAGCAGATGGGAGGTGGTGACAGGTAGGACTTCCTGAAGGAGAGACATCTAAATTGCATCCTGTAGGATGCGTAGGGATTAGCCAGGTGTGTTAGTCATCATTTTGTTGCTTTAAGATGCCTGAGAGGAGCTTTTCTGGAAAGTGTATTTTGGCTTAGTCTAGAGACTCACGATCCAAACCAAGTGGCCCCAGTAAGCTGGCAAGTGGTATAGCCTGTGAAGAGGAACACTCATATGATGAGCCAGGAAGGAGGAAGAGAGGGAAGATGAGGTGGCCTTTAATATCAAACTCATTCTGAGAACTGTCTTCTAGTAGTAAGCACCCAGTGACCCAGACTTCCCACTGGGCCCACAGCTTAAATGCCACAAGGAGACTGAGTCGTTGCCTTTAATGCATTAACCAAAGAACATGTATCCTTTAATTGTGAACACAGGGGTTTGGGGACCAAGCCCCTAATACCTGGGCCTTTGGAGGACATCCAGACCATTATCCAAACCATAACAACAGGTGACGAGGGGCAAATGAAGGAGGTCCAGGCAAATGTTCAGTGGATTTTTTGTGAGACTATGTTTCTGTGATCATCTAACTCAAGGCAAGCCTGAGTGTGGGCAAGCATGCGTGTAGCATACCAAATGATCAATCATGACCTGGACTTGGGCAGAGGTAGAAACGGGATAGGAAAAAGAAGGTACACTAGACAGACAAGGAGGGAGGGATGAGGGGAGAAGAAAGGAACCAGAGGAAGGAGTGTGGTCGAGTTGAATGGAACGATCTGAGTATCATTCCTGGTAAACTCAAGGGTGGATTCTTGGCATATAACTATTGGAATTCTTCCTGTGACTGGTCCTGTGCTCAAGTGTGGATGGAATTAGAGGAAAAACCATCCCCACCATCGCTCATCTCAAAGTTCTGCTGAGAAAAGGAGACTGCACTTGGACAGTAATGCTAAATATTGTAAATTTCTGAGTAGGAAGAGATGGAAGGGGGCTGAAATAACCACAGAAGTAGGCCTGGAAGAGGTGAGTACGGAAAGAGCAGCTCTTGGAAGTGGACTGTGCGTTGGCTGGGGTCCGAGAAGATCCTGACTGGGTGTGCTGTGTGTGGGCTGTCCTGTGGCTGATGATATGCATGTCAATTCCAGGGTACATGATGCTGTTGGTACAAGTGGTTCTACTGCTATTGGCTCTGCCTAGTCATGGGCAGGTTGTTACCACCGAAAAGCCAGAATTCATGATTCCTGTTCCCAAAGGAGCCTGTGCAGGCTGGATGGCAGGTGTCCCAGGGCATCCTGGCCACAATGGGACGCCAGGCCGTGATGGCAGAGATGGAATTCCCGGTGAGAAGGGTGAAAAAGGAGATGCAGGTAAGAGCAACATTTCATAATACTCTCCTGAGTAGACAAGGGATTCCAGGGCTTTTTGAAAGCATTAGTTATTAACACAGGCAAGAAGTCAACTCTTTTAATGCAACCCATAGGCAACATATCTGGGATTGGTCTGTTAGGGGTGAGAATACATGATGCCTCTATAATTAAGTATCCTGCTATTTGTCTCTGTTTGCATCTCCCCTATCCCCCTTTCCAGTATATTCACATCCTGATTCCCAATGTATTCACTTTTCACTCAATCCTCATTTTAACCAGAGGTATTTCATCATTTGTTGTGGGTATATCCTGAAGCTCACAGTTCCGCTTTGGAGATTCCTTGATCTAGTTAAGTAGAGAAGTCTAGTGTACAAGATTGTGTTAGTGATTGTAATGAGGAAGTCTACTCCAAACGCACCAAACTGAATGTGAGCAAATGTGCAGCACACTTACTGTAGACCTGGTTTAACAGTGAAGGCTTCAGGGAAGACAGGCTTGAGATGGGTCTTAAAGGATGGGCAGGCGGGACAGAGAAATGAGGGCATCTCTTAGGGAGAGGTGTGTATGTTTGGGTGGAGCACCACACAAAGGGCTGGCAGAGAGGAGGGTCTATGATGGCTTAGCGGGATCTGACTGAGAGCCTGCTGGGCTATGGAGAAGGTGTTAAGAGGCAGGACCGGCTCTCTTTATTTTGTCAGTCAAGCAGGTTGGGAGCCTCAATCCACATAGGCTGATGTTCTTTTCCCTGTGATCACTGAAGTCTTCTTATCCACTAGGTCTCGTTGGTCCGAAGGGTGACACTGGTGACTCTGGTGTGACAGGAGCTGAGGGTCCACGTGGCTTTCCAGGAAGCCCAGGCAGGAAAGGAGAACCTGGAGAAGGTGCCTACCTCTACCGCTCAGCATTCAGTGTGGGACTGGAGGGCCGGGTCACCATCCCCAATGTTCCCATTCGCTTCACTAAAATCTTCTACAATCAGCAAAACCACTATGACAGCACCACAGGCAAATTCCGCTGCAACATTCCTGGGATGTACTACTTCTCCTACCACATCACTGTCTACTTGAAGGATGTAAAGGTTAGCCTCTTCAAGAAGGACAAGGCGATGCTCTTCACCTACGACCAGTACCAGGACAAGAACGTGGACCAGGCCTCTGGCTCTGTCCTCCTCCATTTGGAGGTGGATGACCAGGTCTGGCTCCAGGTCTACGGGGATGGAGACCATAACGGGCTCTATGCAGACAATGTCAATGATTCCACCTTCACTGGCTTCCTGCTCTATCATGATATCGAATGATCACCACTACCCCAGAGTCTCCACTGGGCTAACTAGCCCAAAGTCAATCAAGGGGCAGCCAGCATGCTTTTGGCCTAATTAGGAGATTGATTTTATTATCTGGTTGGAGGACTCTGAATACTATTCATCGCTTGCTCATTCGTGTATTCACACATTCATCCAGCATCTGTTGAACACAATGATATATAGATATATATTATGCCCCCGGTTCTGAAGTAGACATGCTCTGTAGTTTCAAGGATCTCTTCTGTAGCAGCAATAAAAGAATGAAAGTAACGTTTCCCTGGGTAATTCACATACATAACAAAGTCACTTCCACAAGATAGTACTCAGAGCTGACAAAGCTGTGTGCCACTGTCTCTCCTGATGTTTATGGCATTCTTGAGAGGTGTGTTTTTCTCACAGCTGGGATCCTAAGGCTGGGAGGTCAACAGGTTTTAAGTGCAAACTTAGAGGTCAAGTTCAGTGACATGGATTTTCCTAGACTGAGTCTTCGTAGAAGCACAGTCTCCTGGGGTGTTGACAGGTGTCTGTTGCTCACTGCACCAAGTGCCTCTGAATTGTTAGCATCCCCCTAGCAGAGCTCCTTCACTAGCTCGGTGACTCCGTGCTCCCCACACTGCTGTATATTTCCTCGCTTTCCTCACACCCTTTCCTTTGACTAACTAAACCAACCCCATCAGCACATGTTGAACTCCTCCCTTGAGGACAAGAGCCTCTCTGATGTGGATTCTCCTTTCCCTTAAGCCTTCCTTGCACACAGTGCCTCCTGGGCCTCTTCAGGCTCATGGTTGAGAGCCTTGGGTGTGGGAGACGCACCCTCCTGGGCTGGAGGCAGCCTCCTGGGAAAGATTGCACTTCCTCCACCTCTGCACCCTTTGCAGGTCCTTGAGAAATGCTTTGTGAAGACCAGCTTCTTGAATTTCACATCTATCCCAAATTAGCTCCATCTAATCTTTCTGACTAATCTTTCTTCATCCACAAAAAGCCTTTTCACTTTAGGAACCTCCCTGGTTTTATGTTGAGCTGGACAGCTTGAGTCATTTCCAGTGAGCATACTTTCCAAAACACTTAAAGTATTTTTTCCCAAGGAGATAGCCTGAAATACAAACTCAAAGAGGAATTAAGAAGACATTCTCATTCTTGAGTCTCAACCGATTGTGGAAAACTGGACCTCCTGGATTTATTCTTTCTCTTTACGAATTGCAGGTAGCTTTTTTGGTACCCTGTGGTTCCTCCCATATCCTTCCTGGCACCTGGGACTTCTATTCCACTTTCTATTTCTGTGATCAAGTATTTTAGTTTCCACAAATGAATGGGGACATGCAGTATTTGTCTTTTCTGTGCCTGGCTTATTTCACCTTATATAATGTCCTTTAGTTCTGACCATATTGCTATGAGTGAGTGAAGTAGTTATAATGCTATAAAGCAGGATGAGATAATGGCAAGTCTATATTTAATTACATATTTTACAGTAATGAAGAAGAGTTTCAAGGTTTCCACACATAGAAATAGTAATATCTGGGGAGAGAGAAATCCTAAGGAGCCTAGCTTGATCCTTACATGTATCAAATTAAGATACTATATCTGAAAAATAAGTACAAATATTATATGTCAATGAATAAATAAAAGCTAAAAAAGGAATCACAGAAACCAGGTCCGATGGCTCAGTGGCTAAATCCTCATCTTGCAAGCCCAGGATTCTATATGGGTGCTGGTTTGTATCCTGGCTGCTCTACATCCCATCCAGCTCCCTGCTTATGGACTGGGAAAGCAGCTGAGGAAGGCCCAAAGCTTTGAGACCCTGCACCCATGTGAAAAACCCAGAAGAAACTCCTGGCTTCAGATTGGTACAGCTCCAGCCATTGCAACCATTTGAGGAGTGAAGCAGTGGATGGAAGATCTTTTTCTCTGTAAATCTGCCTTTTCAATAACAATATAAACAGACTTTTTTTTTTTTAAAGAATTACAAGTAGTTCATGACAACAGATCTTCTCTCTGGAGACAATAACAGATGATGCTTTTCAAAGATTTTAGCAAAAGCAGAGTTAATAGTATTCTATTTCAACACAGAAAGCAACTTATTATTTTACTTAAGATTTTACACTGTGAATGAATCCCTTTCATATGGGTGTACCATTCCTTAGGTGACTATCATCATTGTTATCTGCCATCCAGCTTTCAATGTGACAACGTGTGCCTCACATGACTCTTGTTTCCAATGGTTCATAGAGGGATGATGAAATGAGAGTAAATCTTGTGATAGAACTCTGGGGCGAATGACAGAAACCCCAGCCCACACTAACAAAAAAGAAAAGAAAAGGGAATAACCCAAGCCATTTTTGTGACGGAAAATGCTTTGTCTTTAGGTGAGGCTTGACCCAGAGATTCAGAACAATCCCTCCACAGTGTAGGTTCTGTAGTGTGCCTTTCCAGGGTGCAGTTTGGGGCTCTGGTGTTATAAACACTGGCTGCCCAGCACTTGTCCCCTCATACACACCACACTGATTGGTCAAATGCACATCACTTTTCTTGGTGATTCCCAAAAAAGGAGAAATAAAATTCCTTTTCTCAGAAGCCCCAGTAAACACACACACATGTGTGCACGTGCACACACACACGTACACATTGTGGAAGTCAAGAGAAGTGAGTTGAATGGAATTGAATGACTTAATTGCGGCTTGAGCTAAGAGTATTTGGTGCAGGGCTAAAGTAAAATTTGAAATTGTTATCAGAAGTGGAAGAAATAATGATGGGGTCAAAATAATATCTGCCCACAATAAACTTTTTTAAAGGATTTATTTATTATGTGAAAGGCAAAGTTGAGACAAGGAGATAGAGAGAAAAGGGCTCGGTGCGGTAGCCTACTGGCTAAAGTCCTTGCCTTGCGTGTGCCAGGATCCTATATGGGTGCCAGTTTATGTCCTGGCAACCCCCTTCCCATCCAAGTCCCTGCTTGTGACCTGCGACAAGCAGTAGAGAACAGGCCAAAGCCTTAGGACCCTGCACTCATGTGGGAGACCCAGAAGAAGCTCCTGGCTCCTGGCTCCTGGCTTCGGATTGGCTCAGCTTTAGCCTTTGTGGCCACTTGGGGAGTGAACCAGTGGACACAAGATCTTTCCCTCTGTCTCTCCTCTTCTATGTAAATCTGAATTTCCAATAAAAATAAATACACCTTTAAGAAGAGAGAGAGAGAGCGATCTTCTACCTGTTGCTTTACTCTCACATTATTCCAATGAGCAAGGGAAGCCCAAACACTTGGTCCATCTTCTGCTACTTCCTACAGGGCACCAGCAGGGAGCTGGATTAGAAGTGCAGTACCCAGGATGAGAACTGTGCACATATGAGATGTCAGCACCATAGATGGCAGCTTAACCAAATATACCACAATGCTAACTCCAACAACAAACTCTTAACACTGCTGTTTTAACTTTTTCACAGTGATATGGTTGGAAAATAGCTAATACAAAATTTTTGACATGTAAGGCCCAGCATGATTACTCAGTGGGTAAATCCTTGTTTTGCAAGTGCTGGGATCCCATAGGTGCACCAGTTTGTGTCCCAGCTGTCTCACTTCCCCTCCAGCTCCCTGCTTGTGGTCTAGAAAAAGCAGTAAAGGATGGCCAAAAGTCTTGAGACCCTGCACCTGTGTGGGAGACCTGGATGAGGCTCCTGGCTTCAGATTGTCTCAGCTCCAGCCGTTGTGGCCACCTGGAGAATGAAGCAGCAGATGGGCCATGGTCACCGTCAAATCCTCTGGATCGAGGTCACTTCTTTGCGGAACCAGAGGTAGAGAGGACCAGTCTACCTACATATCTTCTGAAAGAAATTACAGTCAAGATTTAGGCTTAGCGATCCTATGACATCTTTACACAAAACTGTGGATTTATCTATTTCTTGTTCTTTCAACTTTTACTTCATGAAGTTTGGAGTTTTGTGGTTAGTAAACATGCATTCAGTATTATGTCTTATTGGTCTATTTATTCTTTTATCTTTTGAAATGTCGTTCTTCATCTCTGATAAGTTCCCTGTTCTGAAGTTTACTTTGTCTGAAATTAATATGGACACCTGTTTGACTTGACAGTTATTTATTTGCAACATTTTAGTTTTTTTTCTTCTAGCACTTTAAACAGTGTCTCACAATCTTTTGGATTGCAGGGTTTCTAATAGGAAACTTATAATCATAATTTTCCCTTATATGTAAATTTGCATTTTTTCTCATGATTTTCAAGATATTTTAATCACTTTTGATTTTCAACAGCTTGGTTATGATACAGCAGGGTGTCATTTTCATTGAGTTTAACCCATTTGGGTTGCATTGAGCTTCTTGAATCCATAAATATTGGATTTTCAGCGAATTTGGAAAGTTTTCTGCTATTATTTCTTTAAATATATTCTTTGAATCAATTTCTTCCTCTTCTTTTGGAATCCTAATGACATGAATATTGGATAAAAGATGCTTCTGAGATTGTGTTAAATTTTTTTTCATCTTTTTCTGTTCTTACTATATAATCTTTTCAGTCAATCTCAAAGCTCATGCAGTCTTTTCTGTCTTCCCCATTTGGTTTGAGCCCTTGCAATGAATTTTTCAGTTTCAGATGTTTTATCTTCCAGTTTTCAAAATTTCTCTTGAACACTCACACATGCATACAGATACTTTAAAAAGATCATAGTAAAATGTATACAAGTTCACATTGTATAAATCAAATTTTTTCTTTGCAAAATAAGTTTATTTTGGTGTAAAAAACCTGAAATCTATGAATAGATTTTCTCATAACATACATTTTCTTTTTGAAGACATATATGAATCTTAAAATCTTTTTTGTGCTAAATAAACTTAACCTTTTAATTGCATGTTCTACAGTTTCTGAAGTACCTTTATATGCACACACATACATATACCTATGGTGCATGTATGTGCATATTCTCATATTCTGCTGAGAACTTTCTTTCCACTTATTTGAGGAATGTTCATATTTACCTCACAGTTATGGTTGATGTTGTGAAGTTAATGTCTCATAGTTTCAACTTGAGTTATACTGAGTTTAGATTGTTTTGAATATTAGTTGAATTTTCCCAGTTCTTTGGGCAGTGAGTAGTTTTGTATTGAATCAAAAATATTTTGAATATTATAATTAAGATTTCAAGTTCTCTTAACATCTTCTAGTCAGTGTTGACTTTCGCTTGTGTTAGTAGACAATTAACTGGCTTATATTCAGACTACAAGGCGTGTCTTCCTTGGGCAGTAATTCAATGCCAGTCCAGTTT